GTGGAAGCAGCAGACGAGAGAACGAGAAAGCAAAAACAACAATGAAACGCTGGGAAAACACAACAAAAATGCCCCGTTTCGTTTGTTGCATCAACAAGCGATGCACCTCAGAAGCAGACGCACTGCACGCCAGCCTTGGTCATGCAATGCGAGTATGAAAACGTGCGCGATCGAGCTGGGAATGCGGGATGCCGCGTTTGAAAAGCGCGAGTTTGTGTGACACAGTTTTCACGTTAATTGAAAATGTTTTTAAGTTTTTTTTTTCCAAATCTTGTGACAGACAGCAGTCGAGTTGGGAAACCGCTGCCATGCGATCGCTGCAGCTAGTGCTCGGATCTATCACGACAAGAGACATCTTGAGATCCCATTTGTGAGATCGCTTGAATGCAAGCGTGCCAAGCCGCATAGTCCGACGAGAGGGAAAAGCGCATGTAGTGGCAGCATCATGGGATTGTTGTTTGGATTACCAAATCCGACGATGCGACGTGATTGGCGTTTGATGGCGAATCCAGATGCGTGACCCACCATTTTGGTTGCGTGCCCACTCGGTTTGCTCCAATTCCTGGGGGTGGGGAGCGTTATGATCAGAGATCGTTCTCCGACAGCGGTGGACATGCGCGAACGAGGGACGGAAATCTAGCCACTTTCAAGCGTCTTTGACCTCCAAGCGCGAGACTAGTGGTCACAAACACCGCAAAAGGCTCAATACTCTAAACACAGATACTTGCCTCATACATTTAGGGCTTGAAGCACGGTTTCCGACGCTCTTGGAGATGGTGGTGCATCGTCAAAGGTTGGCGTGTTCATGTTCATCGCCATCACGTCTTCCCTAACGCTTACCACAGCGGCAAACCAGTCGGACGTCATTCTACTACATCAGCCAACATGTCCCTCGCAAGGAGGCGGCGGTACACACATCTACAGGCTGCATTATCCTCCCGCCATTTTTTCTGGACAGAGTGGCACTGCTTCCACCGCAGGCACCTCCTCCGGCCTCCGAATTTCTTGATTCGGATGAGCTCATGTACATGTCATGCGAGGACCATGTCAAGGCGGCTGGGCAACTCGCTATGATGCAGCCAGATAACGACTTTGAATCCGAGCACTCCCCGCAAAGTTCGGACAGCTCGAACTTGGAGAGCTCGAGGTGCTGTGCAGCAACACAACTGCTACGGACCCCGCCCCACTTCATTCTCTCCGGCTACAAAAGAGAAGAAAGCTGGCAATGTCGGAAGGCTCGAAACGCAATCGGAACTCATGAGCTTGACCGACTGACGACGACGAGTCGCCAGATCGGTTCTCCAAGACGCCGAGCACTTCTTTCAGTGGATCAAGAGAGATTCGGGCACTGGAAACAATTCTATGAGGGTTGGCGGGTTCGACGTGGACTCGGAGACCCGGCACAACGTCGATGACCTTGGTGCAGCTGTCGTTTCGCTCTTCTCAATGCCAAAGTTTTGTCAACGTTCACAACCCCTCATTATCGCTGAGCGCTATTTATACACTGCCATTCTGCAATGCGTCTCGCGTCGACGTGGCTGCTTTTTTGTTTTTCGTTTTATGTCTGCGTGGTTTCCGTCGTATTTAAGCAACGTGAGCGAAAGCACCAAACGCAGTCTACATTTCAGCCATCATTCTGCTGATCCCGTCTCCCACCACACCACTCGCGATTCAGTTCTCGTACTCCCCTCATTATTTCAACTACCAACACAATGGGCAACCGCATTTTCAAAATGTTTGGCAATCGCGAAGTCCGCATGCTGCTCATCGGTAAGATTGATCCGTTTTAGGATGAGCTCAGCGTTTGCCGATCTGCCAACGCGGCAAGATTTTTTTTTTTTTGTCGATGTGCAAGATGTTGTTGGCGCTCGATTGTCGCTGTTTCGCTCTACTACTACTAGTCATCGAGACAGCATACTATGGCTGGGAATAAGGATGGAAGGGAGAGGAGGTAGGCATGGCGACTCAAGTGACATCATGATTTCGGATTGGCGTTCTTTTGAGTCGTTGAGCACTCGGGCGCGCTACATGCCATCGAATCCTTTTCATTGCGCTTGTTTCAACAGGTCTTTGGAAGCGATAGTGCTGATGGTGATGGTGGTGATGATGGACGAGGGTCAGCAGGCAGTTTCGGCTTGAACCAAGCCAAAAAAAAAAAAAAAGTTTCACAAATGAACGCCGACTCACTCTTCTCTTCCTTGTGTATGCCTGCCACGATGCCTGCCACGATAGGCCTGGACGCAGCAGGCAAAACCACAGCATTGTACCGTATGAAGCTTGGCGAAGTCGTTACGACCATCCCTACGATTGGTAAGGATCGAAAACCAACCTCACAACAAAAAACACACACATTTGGAGAATTTCTAACCACAAGCGAGTGCAGGCTTCAACGTCGAGACCATCGAGTACAAGAATTTGAAAATCACCACGTGGGACATTGGCGGCCGAGGAGGCATTGTGAGCGACACTAGGATGTCTGTGATTAACACACAAAGTGAGACTCACGTTGTTTGCTTGTTTTTTTTTTGTTGGGTCGCTCGGTGTTGTTGCAGCGCCCACTATGGAGGCACTATACAGCAAACACGGACGCTGTGATTCTGATGGTGGACAGCAATGACCGCGATCGCATTTCTGAAGCTGCACACGAGCTGACGCGCATGCTGGACCTGTTGGAAGAGCCACAGCAAGCAGAAATTCCGATTCTGGTCTTTGCCAACAAGCAGGACTTGCCCAACGCAATGACAATCGCGGAAATCACAGAGCAACTCGACCTGTCCTCGATTGCCGGGAAGCACCCGTGGTACATCCAGCAGTCATCGGCAACCCGGGGCGAAGGATTGGAGGCTGGCTTTGAGTGGTTGAACACCAAGCTCGCCGCCAAAGAAGCCTCCAAAATAGTCGCCGGAGCTACTCGCAAGATGTCCGACAACGCAAAGTCTGCCACCAACATTTTCACGTCGTCCTTGGAGTATTGGAACAGCAAACTCGTCTCGCTGTGGTCGAGCAAGCCAGTCGCCAAGGCTAGCAACGACATTCCCATCGAGCGGGTCGGCGACTCGGCAGTTGCGGCCGAGTCATGAGTTGATGAGTTGAAGCGAGTGGCGTTCTTATGGCTATGTGGTATGCTTGTGATGGCTTTGTGGTATGCTTGACTGCGCAAGGAAGGTTGCGTTTGTTAAAAACCAATGTTTTTGTTATTTTCGAAAGCAAACGCAATATCGACAGGTGCAGCAACTCGGGGGGAAAAAGAAGAAGAATCAGAAGAAGAAGAAGGATGAAGAAAAAGCAGAAAGAAAAAGAAAGTTCAAGCCAAACGTAAGAAGGACCAAAAAAACCAACAGCAACAAAAACTCGAAAGCAAACAAAAGAAAACAAAAAACGACAAAGCCTAACAATGAACAATCAACTAGCAATAACAGAGAACGTTTTAGTTTTTTTACGCGCGGGACTTGCGCGATCGCAGTTGTCGAAGACGCTCTTCGAGAGCGTGTTGTTCTTTGAGCAGCTTGGCCTTGTTGGATTCGAGCACGGATTGCCGGGCAGTGAGCTCCATGATGATTTCAGTGACTCGGTGAGAATGTTGACCTTGGGAGTGCGCTCGTCCTCGGCCATCTCGGGAATGACCTCACGGAGCTCAGTGAACGAGTCCTTGAGGTCGTTGCGGCGCTTTCGCTCAAGCACGTTGTGAATGTTTCGCTTCATGTCAAACTCGGACACCGGTCCGCCAACAGCAGCCGTGATGGCAGCGGCAGCCACCGCCACAGCCGTAATGGGCTTGCCAGAGTCAGGGTTGACACCAAGAGCATTCATGAGCTCGCTGGGCAGCGGGTCGCCAGAAGCAGCGGCAGTCACAGCGGCAGTGGCCGCGAGGAGCACAGAGACGTCAGTGCACGAGCGCTTGGCGGCCCAGGCCGAAGTGGACGCATAGGACGCGGAGCTTGGGAAGGGGAGGGGCGAGGCAGATCGCGAGCTGGGGAGCGACGCGGCGGCTTGGAGACGGACAGAGACGCGCGAGCCAGTCGGCATGTACATGTCATCGTCGGCCTTGCGCTTGATGCTACGGCGGGCGGGGGAGGACGCGGGGGACACGGGGAGCGAAGCCGAGCCACGTTGCAGACGACGCTGGGTGGCAACAAACGAGTTGGCGGCCGACTTGCGCAGCGGACGCTTGGGCACATACTCGTCGACCGTCTCAACGTCAATCTCGTCATCGGCCTCATCTTCCTCGTCATCTTCGGCGTCACCGCTGTCGTAGAAGGGCGAGCAGGGGGCAGAGGCAGCGGCAGCGCGGAGAGCGGCTGCGGTGGCGGCAGACACGGCGGGGTTGAGGATGGGCAGGGCAAAGCCAGCCTGCTCGTCGTCAAAGACGCCGACAAGCTCGTCGTCGTCGTCCTCGGCGTCCATCTTGACCACGAGATCGTAGTTGTTGAGACGCGAGTGCAAGAGCGCAGAAAGGGCAGTGTCGACGGCATGGTCGGCGGGCAGCGGGGACGCGGGACGCGAGTCGGGGGACAGGGTCAGGGCCGAGGGGCGGAGGACGGCATTGGCGTGGGCGGCACCACCAACGGAGGGCGTGTCCGAGATGAACAGGGTCGGGAAGTCGATCGAGCTGTGCGAGGCCATGGTGGCCGAGATCATGTCGTCGTCGCTGTCGCTGGAGGCGGACGAGGTGTGCGCAGACAGCGAGCGGGGCACAACGTCAAAGGCGTTGCCATCGGCAGACTCGCGGAAGTGCAGAGGGCTGTGGCGAGGCGTGGCGGACGGCGTGTTGTACGCAGACAGGGCTGCAACCATCTCACCGCTAAACAGATCGTCCATCATCGGGGTGGGGCTGGGGTTGCACGAGGCGCTCACCGAGGCGGAGGCCTGCAGGCACGCGTTCTGGTGGCCAACAAACATGCGCAGGTTGGTGGCGCCGTCAAGGGACAGGCCGCGACGCTCGAGCAGCATGCTGGCAACCGCCACAGGGGCCTTCTTGGCTTGCGGCGAGGCTTCAACGTGGCTCGTCGGGTGCGCCGGCGAGGCAGGGGCGCTGTCAAACGACGTCCAGTCGTAGGCAACGGGCGTAGGCGAGCCAGGAGCAGACACTGCGTGGTGGCTGGCGAGATCGTCCGACAGGTAGTCGAGGAGGGCGGCATCTTGGGCGAGCGCGCGCTCAATCTCAGAATGGGAGGCAAGGAGGGCGTCAGTGGACATGGCTTTTTTTTTTTGGGAGAGCTTGAAGGATAAAGACAAAAAGCAAAAAAGAGGGTTGGCTTTGAAGGAGAAGAAAAGAATCGAAGGAACGG